GATGATCAGAGTTGACCTGGCTTTAAATTTTTCCACATATATGTCATATGACTTTGTCATGTGACCTACTCTCCTAAGCCTCTCACAGGGTTGTTCATGAGTGATGAATGTGATGATTTTTGTAAAGTATTTGACAATTTATATAAAATATTAAGCACAGTACTTGATATATACAGCTAAGATACGGAGTCTGAGTGTCTGAGAGAATTGTGGTGTCCTTAGTAGCAGTGGGTCTTTAAGGGGAAAGATGATCCTGAAGTGTAGGGAACAGAATGAGGAAGGCACTGAGACTGCCAGGAACATGACTTCTTGGTGTACATTTTATAGAACGCAGGCACTTCAGTACCTGACCACTAGATGTCAATTTCCAACTTGACCAAATACTGAGAGAGTTGGGTGTGGAAAGCATGATTCAGCGTCACAGATGAGACACATGAATAATGTTCGATCAAACTTTTTGTCATCTTGTTTTGTCTACAGTTGACTTCCATGTCTATGAAATACTGACTACCAGGTGAGAAGGGAAGGTATACGAGCCAGTGAGCAAGCTAGAATGCGGAGAACTCCCAGACTTCGGAAACCGAGTCTGAAGACACAGAGTCCCCAGAAAAGAAAATGCAGCAAATCTGGAAAGCTAGAATAAATAGGGCAAACATCATTGCCAAGTTGCCAGACGATCAACAAATCCAGGAAGTTTTTAGAAACTAAGGAGTAAGAAGGCTGGTAGAGAAACAAATGTAAATCACCTATTACTGATTCTCATACCGGAGGTGCTTGATAGTCAACCAGAAACAATTTTTTTTTTCCTAGTCTTGCCCTCGGTGGGGCTGGTCCCAAGGGAGATGATCGAAATGAAAGGTTACTGGCCAGGAGAACCCGAAAAGCAGCTGCCTGCTAGCTGCCTGCTAGCAGTACAGGAATCGGGCATTCCTGTTTCCCTGGGGGAGGCATCCTCTCAGCAGATCAAATCCCCCTGGTGACAGTCCTGCCCAGGTTTTCCCAGGGTTTTCTCAATACTCTCACCAAGTGAAACCCTTAGAGTTCCATGCTGGTTTCAGGACCCTGTAGCCCCTGGAATTCTTTGATAGCTCTTCTGACTAATCAAGGTGTGGAACAGAGGGAAAACGTGCAGGGCATGCAGCAAATGGTGGTCAGGTGAGAAAGAGACTGTCTCGAGAATTTAGGATTATGACCAAGGAATTGGACATTTCCCTTATCACAGGTGATTGTAGAAGGAGGTGACCCACTTGGGCTTCATTCTTGTGCTAAGCTCTCTGGGAGAATACTTTCCCTTTATGTATATTTAAAGAAGCCTGGTGGTGCAGTGGGTTAAGCTTTTGGTTGCTAACCCAAAGGGCAGCAATTCAAACCCATCAGTTCCCCTGGGAGAACAGTGAGGCTGTCTGCTCCTGTAAAGATTTGCTGCCTCAGGAACCGTCCCGTGCAGTTTTTTGAGTCAGAATTGACTCCATTGTAGTGGGATTGGTTTGGGTTTTTAATGTATATTCAATTACATAATGGCCTGCATAATTCGATGCTACTAGCTTGTTTTCCCTCACCTTGGTAGAGATATCAGAGCTTCTTGAGGGAGAGAGTTTTTTTCTCCAGTCTGGGGAAGATAGAGTCTTTTCTCAATCTCTATTTCCCCAGCTGCCATGTATATGAAAGATACCTGGGGAAATATCGATTGACAAAAGTATTGCAAAGTGACATTTATTCAAGACTCAGAATGCATCCGGGGTTTTGTAAGCAGAGAGATCGATGCAACCCCTGAAGGTTTAACTTGTGAGCATCAGCATTAACTGAAGAGAGCTAATTTACTCCGTTCCTAAAGGAAATGGGGCTGAAAAGAATGATTACAGCAAAATGCTGAAACAGAAAGAGCATCACATCTTTCGATTGAATTCCTGTGTGTTTGGGGTATTATTGGGCAAACTTACCAATCCTTTTCTGACTTCTCAATCATTTTGAGACTTTCCCGGTGTAATAAGATTTTGGTGTTTGTGAATCATCATTTTAAAATCACTGCAAACTAGGTTTTTTTTCTCCCCTACTCCCTCTCCATTTTATTTTTTGGTCAAATTGACAATCAGTACAAGTTTATGGTGATTGAGTGATTGTTGCATTAGATAAAGCTGTTTTGATAGTAAGTTCTAGAAGTAAACTCATGTTATACAGAAAGAGAAATCTCGTGGAAAATTAAAGGAAAGTCTTTGAGAACCTCAGGGCAGGAAACCCAGATGATCCCAGGAAGGCTGGAGGACTGGATTCTGGAAAGCCATCAAGTATCTCTCCCCTCTGGGTGATGCCTCTTCATGCACTTTATCCTTCTTGATCTGGGAAAATCTATTTTTTCCCCCTGACAGATTGACTTTTCCATGGCTCCCAAAATGACATATAGTTAATCCCTCAAAATAACTTTTGAAAAGAGAGAACCATATTGACAATATCCAACTCCCTTAGGTCAGGAGGCAAACCCTGGCTCCGACACACATGATTGAAACATTACCTCTGGAGGGCTCTTGGTTTTAAGAGCACAAATATAGACCCTACCTAAAAAGACAGTGGTTTTGAGCTTGGTGTGTGGGCCTATCGTGTCTATCTGAATCTGCCTGGTAAAATAGCGGGGCAGCCAGACAGAGGAAGGCCCTCGTCCAGGAGTGACACTGTGGCAGCAATGCTGGGCTGCAGCACAGGAACCGTGCATGGTGAGGATGACCCAGGATGGAGCAATCTTCACCATGTTGAGCACAGGGTCACGATGGGTCTGAACTGACTCGATGGAACGTAAAAACCAAACGAATATGCCCAGGATTCTGCTTGACATAATAATAATCTGTCAAATGGGAGATTTGTTGACCTAATACTCTGACAGAGAGAAGAACAGATGACCGAAGAAGCATTTGTATTTTGAGTATCACAATAGGGATAAATATGAGCAGGAAACTTCATACAAGCAGTACATTAGTTAGAATCATTTGATATTCAAACTGTTTGGGTGGGTTTGTAAAAGCTTTCTAAAATTGAAGAAATAAATATTTCAGTGAAATAATTTTCTCACTTAATTATACATCTATTTATTCAATTTAATAATATTAAAAAATCTTTCTGTCTCCTTTTAAAAATATTCACTTGATGAAGACTAAGCCTGGAGTAATTCGCCCAGTACCAGTAAAATCCAAGATATTCCTGAAAAGAGAAGAAGAAGTCTTTGAACCTAATCCTTTCAGTAAATACTTGGAGGATGAGAGCAACCTCTTTCCTGATCAGGTGAGCATGATTGTGAGAAACTATGTTATATTTTGAGATATGACCTTATAAAATATAGAGATATCATATCAATGTTTATGTATTCAAAAACTATTCATTTTATTTTAGTCCTTGGTTAATAAAGATATTTTTTCCCAGTAGGAAGAAATTCTTATACATGCCCAGGATAATATTTTAAAATATCTTTTTCCTGAAAAATTTTCAACCTTGTTCCAGTATTATTTTGGAATCAGGAAATTACCCTCTACAAGACAAATAGAATTACTGGTTGCATGGGCATACTGAATTTGTATTTTTATTTCCAACATCCTGATTCCTTTTGGAGCGATATAATGTTTGGGATTTTTTATGTTTGTCACAGCTGGAAAAAGTCCTTCATGTTTGTGTTACTATAGTACAGAAAATGCAATGCCTTTCTTAGAGCCAGTCTGCTCAAGAGGCAGGTGTTCAGGTCATCTTAGGGCTGTGCTGTTCATTTTGCTTTTGTGTAGAGAAGTCTACTGGCTGATCCTTCTATAGCCCATCTGTTTGAGTGGGTATAATGGAAGTTTGTCTAGGGGATTCTACAAAGATACTTGTGGAAAACATTTTAAAAACAACACACAACTTCATAAATTATTTCAAAGTGAAACCTTATGTGTTTCTGTGCCTTATTATAAGGTGCAACGCATAGGCACTGGCTCTATCAGTGATGTTGTGAATGATGTAAAGTGAATAACCAGTGTGAGCAATCCAGTAAACCTTCAGGATACAATAGGACACATCAGATTACCACATGTTGTAAACTAAAGTAAAATGTAAAATACGATCTTTTACATTTGAGTTTGAAAATGATAACTAACAATATTCCTGAAAGTATTAGTTACATTCCTATTCATAAAACACAAGGGACATCTCATCTGCCACATATTAGCTCTCAGACTCTAGGTAAGTCATTTCAAATGTTTAGGGTTCAGTTTCTTAATTTATAAGAAGACTCATTCAAATAAGGTAAATATTAGAGTCCGTTAGACTAAAAAATCCAGATCATTTAAAAATGAATTATGAACCCTAACTAGGGCTAAAATCCTTATGTGGCCTATAAATAGGCATTATAAATGTTTTCTCATAATCAGCCATCGTTTTTATGCTTATAAAGTGTAAAGGACACTATTTTCTATTAATTTTTGTGTACTTTGGGAAGACTACTATGATTGTGATCATTTTTATTATTTTTTAAGAAGTGTAATTAAAAATCATTGAAAATGATCATTGAGGCAGTTGTTTTCATTTTATGGAAGAAAATGTCCTCAATTTAAATTAAGTAGAGAAATCCTATTGATGTATAGGATTATCTTCATTAATTCCACACATAACAGAAATGGAAACTCTTCTTAGGAAAGTATATCTCTATCATTGACAAAAAATATTTATTAAAGAGCTATTGCTTGCATGACCCTAATATTTCAGAGCCTTGATGTGAAATTTTAGACAGTATGGGATTATTATATGAAGGTTATAAAGATAATATATTAGTTATGTGAAAAACAAAATGCCAACAGCTGAAATATGTTTCAAATATTATATATGCAATGTTCAAAATATGATCTGCTGCTGGGAAATTGTATTTTTATTCTTTTACATTAGTATAATTTATGTATTTTAGCTTTAACAAGATTCCTTATAGAAGATAAAGTTAATGTGCCTATGATTTACCACCATTTATTGCTTCTGAGATAATAAATTTTATTTTCAAATATAGGAAATTATCACTAAAAGCATTTCTTTTCATTACCTTTCCTGACTATAAAAGAACTTTAAGTGTCTGTTTATGTTTCAACATAAATCTATCTCTTTCCATGTAATCTGTTGAAAACTTGATCTCTTTCATCACAGACATATTTTAATTTGTGTATGTATATATGCATATATATCCAAACAGTTTGTTTTCACCCCAACTTTAGTGTAGACTGTCAAAATTTAGTCTAACTATACCCTGGTTTTAGTCGTTGAATTTGCATGTAAAGGAAAGTATAATACAAGTAAAACCTGGGCGTGCAGCACACCTGCAACTTGCCCACACTATCAAATAATTTCTCCAGACTGAGTTCTAACTATCATCTCATCGTGTCCAGAATCGACAATGGGTTCAGAGGAACTTTATATTTCCTTACACCCAAAACAGCTCGCAAGTGTAGATGCTTGAATCTACTTAAAAAATAAATTGAGCAATAACCATTTATCATCTCAGCATTGCTACTTCATCAGAACTGTAACAAAAAGAGTGTGAACTCAAATTCACTTCCAGTTACTACAGTGTTCTCTTACACTTCTGCCACAGAATAAATTGAATGGTACCAAACTCAGTTGATCTCACCCACCCATGTAATGGAAAATGCTTTAGCCAGATGGGCCAAATTGAAGCAGCTCATATTCACTAATCTGGCTTGTACTGGGGACAGTTCCACATGACAGGAGATGCTGCATGGGATTGTTAAGTTGATACATTCTCCCTAGCAACTTCACTGCCATAAAATATGATTTCAAAACTCTGTTACAAAATGTCAGACACTAAAGATGATGAGACCAGACAGAAATGTATTTATTGTAGCTCAAAAAGGTACAATGGGGCAGCTTATTGAACTTATAATGAGCTGAAAATCTGCCTGGATATAGTCTCAGAGTACTAAAAGCAAAGTTTGAAACCAAATGCATACTCAAGCAATGGATATTTTATTAATCAACACATTTTACATCAAAATGTCATAGGCCAGGTACCATCATTTTATATCAGATGGGTTTTTAACAAAAACTTTCCAAAATGAGTTATGGTTTTCTAAAATAACCTTTAAACCCATTATTATATCAATTTTGTGGTCCTTTTGTGTTACTGTAAATTATTCTTACACTCTACATGTGGGTCTAGGACTATAGTGATGTACTTTGAAGCATAATCTTCTTATTGATAATTAAAGTTTGAGTTGGAAACTAATTAACAGAATTGATTGGACAAATGGGCATTCAGGAGACAGAGTGGCTCCAAATATCAGTCCATTGAAAGACTAACGATATGAGCTTATTCTGACTACATGTAAGTTTCAAAATGTATTGATTTTCCCCCCTGAGCATTTCATGTATCTAATTCGATAAAAATAATTTATCTGAGTATTCTTAATTTATTATAAAAATCAAGACCTACGGTCCCCTTTAAAGACATCGATTGTGATGAATATGAAAAAGACTCTTAAAATGTTGTATTTTTAATACCTATTGGATTACATCCTGTAGAAATATTCATTTTATCAAAGTGCCTTTCCATAACTTTTCCCTCAAATAGATTTATAACCCTCTATTCTAATATTTATAGTTGAATGTTGTGAGAGTTCTTCAAATTTTCATTTATAATAAATTATAACAACAGATTATAAAAAAATAAAAAAAATCAAGTGTAGATTTGTTACATAAAACAATCTATCTACCTACCCAAATTAGTAATTAAACCCCTGCTATTCTTAGATATGTCATTACCTTCTTAAAAATCTTGAAACATATAAAAGAAGATTTTGAGGATCAAATTTAAAGAAGCACTCCTGTTATTTCATCTTATTTTCCAGGAAATCAATCTCTCTATAGTTCTCTCATTAAAATTAGAAGTAAAGTGTAGCAACGATGAAATAAACAATTTTCCTCTAGTTCTTCAATGCTTCCTCCCCACCCCCAATATCATGATCCCAATTCTACCAGCCTGTGAGATCACAAGGCATCAAAGAGATCAGGTATCAGGCATCAAAGACTGCCCCCCCCCAAAAAAAATCATAGCATTGTGAATGAGGGGGAGGGCAGAGTAGGGACCCAGGGCCCATCTGTGGAAAATTGGAAATTTCCTTGCCGAAGGGCCGCAGGGAGGAGATGAGCCAGTCAGGGTGCCATGTAGCACTGATGAAACATATAATTTTCCTCCAGTTCTTGAATGCTTCCGCCCCCCACTATTATGATCCCAATTCTGCCTTACATATCCGGCTGGACCAGAGGATGTCCACTGGTACAGATAGGAACTGGTAACACAGGGAATCCAGGACAGATGAAACCCTCAGGACCAGTGGTGAGAGTGGCAATACCTGGAGGGTAAAGAGAAGGTGAGGGAGAAAGGGGGAACAGATTACAAGGATCTACATATAACCTCTTCCCTGGGGGATGGACAGCAGAGAAGTGGGTGAAGGGAGACGTCAGCTGGTGTAAGATGTGACAAAATAATAATAATTTATAAATTATCAAGGGTTCAGATGGGAGGGAGGATTGGGGAGGGAGTGGAAAAATGAGGAGCTGATACCAAGGGCTCAAGTAGAAAGCAGGTGTTTTGAGAATGATGATGGCAACATATGTACAAAGGTGATGGACACAATTGATGTATGCATGGATTGTGATAAGAGTTGTATGAGCCCCTAATAAAATGATTTAAAAAAAACAGACAAGAAGCTCTAAAAATGTTTTTTAAAAAATTAGAATTAAAGCTTCCTGCTACCAAGTTGATTCTGCCTCATACTAGTCCTAGAAGACAGAGTAGAAATTTCCTTTGGATTTCTGAGACTGTCAGTCTTTATGGGAGTAGGAAGCCTCATCTTTCTCTTTAGGAGCAGCTGGCAGTTTTGAACTGCTGACCATAGGCTTAGCAGCCCAACCTGTAACTCAGTAGGGCACAAGTCCTCCGTTCCCAGCACATGTAACTCTTAAATTTTAATTTCCTTAATTTATTTCACTGGAAGAGAGCATATTTTTGTTTGAAAATGGCCATTTAGAGAATTTCTTCTCACAGAGAACATGGAGAAGGATAATTATAGGAAAATTTCCATTCATTTTTCCCTATGATTTTCTTAATCTCATTCCAAAAATAAATCCATTCATTTTTCCCTATGATTTTCTTAATAATTTCACTTGCCTTTTTTTCCTTCCCAAACTGTGTTTGACATACAACCTTGATAATTATGTGGGTGACTTTCTGATGTAGAGTTAGTGTATCAAGC